AGAGCGAGAGAGAGAGATATATATATATATATATATATATATATATATATATATATATATATATATATATATATATATATATATATATATATATATATATATATATATATATATATATATATATATATATATATATATATATATATATATATCAAAAGAAGATGGACAAATGAGAACCTTTCTGTCATAAACTATAGTAAAACAGCTTGTCAAAAGCTGCCAACAGATTACATAGAGGAATAGAGAAAAGAGCACTCTTTAATTATCAGCTGTTAGTCAGCGCCCACTCTTTTTTTTTTTCCTGGTCATTGCACCTTTGCCGTGTGCTGTGTAAATGCAGACGATCGGATACAAGTCACTTTTAAAAAGATGATGTAAACAGCTCAGCAAAAAACTGGATACAGTCTCGGAATTTACCATCAAGATCTGCAGTGTAAATGCAGCCAAACAGTCTACTTATAATCTAATGAGAATTAGTTGGCATGTAGATGCAATGTAAATTAAATTAATCAAACGGACCATCAAAATAAAGTGTGACCGATTATTTAAATATATTTGGAGTAAATCTTGGCTTGTCGGTGTAATACAAAATATATATTTTAATCTCAATGATTTTTTTAAATATCTAAATATTTTAAATCTCAACTATAATTTAAAACATACATTTTTTTTGCAAAGTAGATCAATCATTTACAAGACAAGTACTAAAATACAATGAAATAGTTAATAAGAGAATCAGTAGAGTTAATGGTAATCTTTTTAAAGCATTAATAAAGTAAGAGTTTTGTATCTTCTGTATCTGCACAGATTTCCAGGAGCCTTATGCAGTTGTTGTCCTACTGGAGAAGGATTTGGTTGTTATTGACCTTGCACAAATTGGGTGGGTAGACGGCAAACGTGATACACTCCCTTCATTTGTGCACAGATGATTAATACACATCTGCATTTGCAGGTATCCCATCTTTGAGAACCCGTACCCTCTATCCATCCACGAGTCTCCGGTGACCTGCTGCGAATATTTTGCAGACTGTCCAGCCGAAGCAATCCCTGCACTTTACTCTGTTGGCTCCAGACAGAAAAGACAGGGCTTCAGTAAGAAGGTAATGTTCTGCCGTGCGCTGCTGGATAATGGATAGTCCTAAAACGGCTGATCCAAATCTGTGTTTATGCAGGAATGGCCCATAAGTGCAGGTAACTGGGGCCAGGGAACACTGAGTTTCTCAGAGATTATCATCACTGGGTAAGTCATTACACACATACACACACAAACTGGTTCCTATATCCCAGGGGGACTCTTATAGATGTAATGATGGTTTAGTTATGCAAACCACATATTCTGTCCCCCTAAACCCAACTCTCACAGGCAGGGCTTTACATTAACACCCGCCAACCCGCCAAATGCGGGTAAATGTCAGCGGTAGCGGTAAGACAGACATTTTAAATTACAAAGGGGTGGCACGTTGGCTTAGTGGTTAGCACTGTTGCCCCACAGCAAGAAGGTCGCTGGTTCGAGTGCCGGGTGGACCAGTTGGCATTTCTGTGTGGAGTTTGCATGTTCTCCCCGTGTTGATGTGGGTTTCCTCCAGGTGCTCTGGTTTCCCCCACGGTCCAAAGACATGTGCTATAGGTGAATTGAGTTAGCTAAATTGTCCGTAGTGTAAGTGTGCGAATGAGTGTGTATGGAAATTTCCCAGTGATTGGTTGCAGCTGGAAGTGCATCCACTGTGTAAAACATGTGCTGGATAAGTTGGCGGTTCAATCTGCTGTGGCTACCTTGGATTAATAAAGGGACTAAGCCGAAAAGAAAATTAATTATTGAAGTTCAGAAGCTAATTCTAACACTGTGTTCATGCACAAAACTATAGGCTGCAGTACTGTATGCTTGCCCACACTGAGGCAAAATGTCTTAAGAGCATGATACAAGTGGAACGATTAGTGCTACAGATGTTAGTTCGTTATTAAAGAAAGGAGCAGACAACAAATAATGAAGCAATGAAAATAAAACCTGGGGAAAATGTTTACCTGCGGGCTTTTGTGAACAGGTCAAGACAATACTCGAATACTGTGAGCAGGAGAAAATAATATCTATTTTTTGCGAGAGTGGGACTGAAAAATTGCTCTGGCGCAGGTCTTTACTCTCAAGTCGAAAACAACAAACTCAGCACTGTAAGGTCGATCAGTTCTCTCTCAAAACTGTGACCGCTCTCTAAATACCATCTCTTCATCCAAATCACTGCACAGACACAGGTGTTAGGAATGTTTTTGATTGACCTACTTTTCCTCTCGTGACTGCCATTAAGTATAAAAATTACAAAAAAACAAGGCATGTCTTCAAAAGCTACCTCAGTGTTGTATTACCGAGGTCATACTTATGTCACTATAAAACTGTCTGTCCTTGTAAACCTCCAAAATCAGTACACACACTAGCTCTTTGCTGCCGAAGTCTATTCATGTTTGATAATTGTATTAGAAAGTAAAAGCATTTATTGTTGTTGAAAGCTTTTAAATGTGAAGTCTTCATATTACTCTCTTTTTGTTTTCTTCCTGAAACAGGCATGCTGATGGATCGATCAAGTTTTGGGATGCCTCAGCTTGTGAGTTTCTTTCTAAAACAATATACACTGAAATTTTATGTCCCAAGCTTATAGAACCACAATGTTTGGAGTTGGAAAAACACAATAGATGCTTGTGGATTCTGCAAATTCATTACTTAAACAGAAGATTTCCAAAGATTTGGAAGCACTCAGAGCTACATTAAAGGATTAGTTTGCTCCAAAAAATAATATTTCTGTTACTAATTACCTTCATGTAGTTTCAATCCTGAGATATCTTCAGAACACAAATTAAAGAGATAGTTCACCCATATCTTAAAATTAAATCACCATTACCTTTAAACCTTTAGGAGTTTCTTTCTTCTGTTGAACAAAAAACTGTTAACGTTGACTTCCATAATAGGAAAAACAAATACTATGGAAGTCAATGGTAGCAAGTTTTCAGCTTTCTTCAGAGTATCTTGCTTTGTGTTCAGTAGAATAAAGAAAGTCAAATGGGTTGGGAACAAATAAATGTCAAGTAAATGATGACAGAATTTACAATTTTTAAAGAAACTATCCCTTTATGATATTTTAGTTCTGCGTGCTCTCTCATTCTCCATAGACAGCAATGGTCCAGAGAGATTCAAATTTAGAAAAGGAACTAAAAACATTGTCGAAACAATCCATGTGACTTCAGTATACTCATACGTATGAGTGTATCCGTATGTGAGGGGGCAAACTTTTCAAGATGAATTCCCAATAAGTTTGATGTGTCACATGATCCTCTTCATATTGAAAAAACAAAGGTTTGATCTGAATGTGAATGTGCAACAAACAGGACGTTAATATTAACAACTATTCAGGTGTATCCATATAAATGGCCCACCCCTGTATATCCATTGTAAAAAAAAAAAATTGACAGATCTCCCTAAATTCACTCTGGAAAGTGCAAAGTATGCTTGTAATTATTTTAAAAATTATATATATATATATATATATATATATATATATATATATATATATATATATATATATATATATATATATATATATATATATATATATATATATATATAT